GATCAATGCCATTTTGGCTCAAGGCTTGAGCTCTATCCTCGATTTTTTTTCTGGACCCACGCTCGTGGGAAGGGCCTGGGTGTTCATGGCTCGGCGTTCGCACGGCGGATCTGGAGGAGGATGGGGCTCAGGTCAGTCCACCGGTGGCTACGGGCAAACCGGTGGTAACGCAGCTCACAACCCACTTGAGGTCAAGCTGCCGAGGTTCCTCTACTGGCTCGAGATGAATGAGGACCATATGGAAGAGAACTCGGTGATCATGGTGGATGACCGAGACGCTCGCATGGTTTCCCCTTTTCAGGGCTGGTTGACCAAGGAGATCATGAGCAACTCTGCGAGTTCGATCAATGTCCTGACGGAGCGCGACCAGGTGATGCCGCCCAGCTCGGGGTTCCACCTTACCCTGTTCGGCAACTACACGCTGGACGGGATCAAAGTCGTGGTGGTGGTGGCGCTCGACACCGAGACGGGCTGCATGAATGCAGGGTGGGATCAACCCACGGCAGAGGCTCTCTCGCATCCGGCTTTTCAGCCCTTTGCGTGGCCCCTGCTCAGGGATACCTCAGCATCCTACACGGACGTGAAGATCTACAATGGCAATGAGGTTCTTTTCCATTGGATTTTCAGGGGATATCGATCCGACACCGACTTGACAGTTCAGCAGCAGTTCGTGGACGAAGTTTTGGTTCGAGAAGCCAACCGCGGCAAACCCAGGCTCTCCCTGGTTGTCGCATCGTTCATGGGCTGGCGGGTGACCGTGTTTTCGTTCGAATGCGGAGGCAGGGTCTACTCGGTCGGGCCGAATGGCGCGGTCGTTGCCACAGACCATGCGCGCTCGCGCTTCGAGCTCAGAGTGTGCAGCAGGTCGTCCACAGATGCTCTTGGCAACGATGCTGATCGAGTAGAGTTCAGGTTCAGAGATGCCAACAACCGTATGGATCTCAAGTGCCAGAGGACGTCTGTTCCTGGGACTTGGCTCACGGTGTCACACATCTCGGGGCCGGCTCTCATTCAGACGATCACCAACGTGCGGAACTCCCGCGCTCGCGTGGAGGGTCCGGAGCACACAGAACAGTTTGGGCAGCTGGCGGCAGTTCATCAATACTGGTGGAACAATGCGGTCGCAAAGTCCAACCGGGAGATAGGTTGCAGCACGGACTTCATCGGTGATCTCGAGCAGGGCAATTTCCATATCACCTGCACGTCGAAGTTGTGGATCGCTGCACCGGAAGTGGTCAACAAGACCGCGCTCGCGGAAATGCAGCACACGGGCGCCGGACGGCTTGCGCCGGTGGGGCCGCCTTCGATCACCATGGGGGCTTGGACCAACGCTGCTGAAGAGGTCGGTGCTGAAGCCAGCAGTCGTGGCAGTGGATCTGGTGTCGTCTCGTCGTCGGTTCAAGCGGACTATGAGATGGCACGGCGATCGCTGAACAAGAACGCTCCGATCAATTCGTCCACAGGTCACGTAGAAGATGAGGCAAGAGATCAGGCTCGGCTTGATCGGAGATATGCCCGATCGTCTGCCCAGATCACGCCGGCCGTTTTCGCAGCACAGATCTCCAGAAAGGTCTTCGACGAGACAACGGCTACGATCGAGGAACTACCACCGGGGGATCTCCCGCTCCCACATCCAAAGACGCAGGAGGGGCCTGTTCAGACCAAGTCGATGCCAGTTCCTGTCCCTGAGTCGAAACCAGACCCTGCGCTCGAGCGGGGCGATCGTCCCCAGACGCCAAGGACGGATCCTACCGTCTTTAAGCCGGCGTCAGCCGACACGTGAGATCCGTGTCATGGTGGGCGAAGCTCTTTTTTTTCCATTTTAAATTTGATAGTTCTTCGGATCATCGATGATCCCTCGCTGGCAGTGGCCCGCCGGAGTGATAACGCTGATCAGCTCTTGGGGGGGGGGACTAGGTCGGGGGGGGGTGTTGTTCCCAGGGAAGGCGGTAGGCTTCAGGCTCCCTTTCTCTTACGGGTGTCCCCCCTTCGGTCCCCCTCTTCCAGGTTGGTCCGGTGGGGTGTGAACCGCATTGTTCAATGCGCTCTTTGAGGGTTGATCCCCTGTTTGCGATCGTGATGGTGCGTCCGCGATCGACGGACTTGAACGCGTGCCGACGATCGGAGGAATGGCGGCGGCAGCCAAGATCCCTGGCAGCGGCGGCGCCCCAGAGATCCTGGAGGGTTCGCTCGTTTTTGATCGCTCTCGCGCACGGCGTTCGATCGTGTCGTCGTGGAGCTTGGATGTTTGATTTGATTGATCTAGGTCTCGATCGAGCAGTGGAAGTTCATTTTTCCGTTTTTGATCACGATCGTGACGTGAGTCTTGAATTGGTTCAGTCATGACTGCATGATCCGATGTTTTTCGATCGAGTTGCGATCGCACCCATTCTCTGGCCGCTCGGTGTCCGAGGCCCAGTTGCTGCCAAGATCCCTGGCGGCCCTGGGCAAGGCATGGACCGCTCGATGGCTGCGTTCTTTGCGCTGCCGCTGTTCGGCGAGGGCTTCGTTCAGGCGCTCTGTAGGCTGGGGCTCGGTAAGTGCGAGTTCTGGCTCGCTCTCGATGAGGGTGTGGGGGCCGACGAGCAGATCGCTCGGCTGGTCAGCGTGATGGATGGGGAGCAGGCCGATCGGGATGAGGTGCTCACCAACCTTGACCTCGTGCAGATCCTGCACGGCATGGTGTCGATGGCACGGGCTAAGATCATGGCAGAGATCGCCAACGATCTAGGCTACGGCGAGGCTGCAAGTTCAGATCCTGGACGGGCGGCCAGGCCGTGGCCAACGGCGGGGGCTCCAGATCCCGGGGTCCCGTCTTTCAAAAAGCCCAAGGTCACTGCTGCAACCGACGAGGTCTCGTCCTTGAAAGAAGAGGAGGAGAAAGAGAAGATCAAATGGGCCGCAAGGCTGAAGCTGATCGCCGACAAGGCGGGCTCTGCGGCTCAGATCAACTCTTCCATGGGCGGCGATCTGTCGCAAGAGGAGCAGTCTGAGATCAAAAGTCTGGTGTTCCGTTCCGGGGCATTCAGGACTATCAGGTTGCATGTGCTCGCATGGGAGCGCATGGAGAAGTGGGCCGTTGATCATGGCCTGTCGATTTACCCCCCGTCGACTCAGGTGGTCACCAAGTACTTCTTAGCCCTGCAAGACAGCGGGTGCGGTCCGGCAGTTCTGCCCGGGTTGAGGCAGGCTATTCGCTGGATCTGCAAGAGACTGGTCATGACACCTCCCGACGCGGGTGATCCGGCATTGGAGGCGATCGTCGCCAAGGTCTACGAGGAGAGGGGCAAGGAGCTCAAGGAGGCTGTACCAGTGCCACTCAAGGCGGTCGCCGCCCTTGAGTACCTCGTCAATGCTCTCATTTTGGCTGGCAAGATCCCTGCCGCGATTTTTGTATGGTGGATCCTGATTTTGATCTACGCGTCGCTCCGATGGGATGATGGGCGACACGTGGCGCCATCCTCCCTGACGCTCACTGGGGATGCACTGGTGGGTTTGGTCTGGCAGACGAAAGTGGAGAGGCGGCGCAAGGGCACACGGTTCGCCGTGCCTATGTGCAGCCTAGGGGGGGTCACCTGGTTGGAAGAGGGCTGGCACGTTTTTCAACGGTTCAAGAACGACCGGGACTTTTTCATTTGGGACCTGGTGGATGAAGGCCAGTTCGACGTTGTGCCGATCTCTTCCGAGAGAGGTCTCCCTTGGCTCAGATACTTTTTAGATCAGGCCGTGACGATCGCTCTGGAGGACCACGCCGTCGAGTTCGATGATGCTGACGTAGTGAGGGCCCAATGTGCGAGAGTGACGTGCCATTCGCTGCGCGTTACTTTGTTAGATGCGGCTGTTCACGCGGGGGCCGACGACAAAGTCATCGGTCTGCAAGCTAATTGGAAAGATCCCAGCCAATTAGTCTTGAAGTACGCTCGGAGCCGTAAGGAGCTCTCCGTTCGTATGGTCCAGGATCTGGCCACTGTGATTCGCGAAAGCTGGACTCCTGATCAGGAGAGTTTCGTTGTTGAGGATGAGCCAGAGGTCGTGGCCCCGGCAGCGCGTGAATACGTGGCCAAGGCTACGACGCCATCCAAAGCTCTCGTGGCCTCCGATTTCAAGTATCATATCATGGATACAGTGATCAACAAGTCGCACACATTGTGTGGGCGACTTAAGTTGTCGGACGTGGTCTCGTTTGGGCCGGACGCTCCGGGCATGATCTGCCATCACTGTCAAACCAAGTTGAACTCGCTGCAGTGATCCCCTGCAGGAAAAGAGTGATCAATTTCGCGATGTGCATTCATTTTCAGTATAGTTCGACGTGATTTTGGAGTAGTCAGGCGGTGTTTGTTTGTGATCTCATTTTCGGCTGCGATCCTTTTTGTTTTCTCTCATTTCCGTGTCGTTCGTTTCTCGATGTGCGGCGATCGCAGTGTGGAACGTTCGTTCGGTCGGCGCTCGATCCGGCGCTGAGTGAGTGAGGAGAGAACATTCTTTGTTCGCCGCGCTAGATCCCAGCCGGCTCAAGCAGTGATCACTGCAATGGTGGATCGAACCACCTACACCGATGAGGCTCACACGCCAAAGCTCGCCTTGCGCCAGATTTTCGGGCGCCAGGGGCTCAAGAGTGAGCTCTGTGTGGCAGCAGCAGATGCAGGGCTCTTGTCGGTAGAGGTCTTTGCTATGCTCGGTGACACTGCCGCGGCAGCAAAGACCGCACTGAAGGCAATCGTGCCAGAGCATGCGCTCGGTGCGACTGGTGGCGAGCGTGAGTTGGGCGTGATGCAGCTCGCATCAGTGTGGCTGGCATGCCAAGCTCTTCAGACGCAGTTTGCCACTAGGCGCGCTCGTATGGAGGAAGATCCCAACAAGATCCCTGAGATGGCGCAGGAGGATCACGCCGAATTCAGGGCCCGATTCGTCCGAAGTCACCCTGATGTCATCCTGATCGACGCCAAGGAGCCCCACAAGAAGTTCGTTGAGAAGCTCAACCGTGACTACTTGGTGAACGGCATGGTTCCTTTTTACACCATGGCTGAGGTCAGGACACGGGCTGACAACATCGTTCAGAAAGCCGGGCTCACCAAGAATGCCGAAGATCTGTTGACAGTGGCCAAAGCTGAAGAGCCAGATTCGGTCACTGATGTCAATACACTCATGAATAGGATCCACGCATTTTTCATGGCGCTCGAGTACCTCAACATCTGCCAGTATTCTAGAGGAGCAGGGCCGCTCCGATATATTCAGGAACTTGAGCAGTTCCGCACAGAGTGCCCCAGCCTTCCCTTCCTGCAGCTCGCGGACTCGTTGATCAGGAAGAAGGTCTACCGGCTGCAGGCTGAGCAGCGTGAGGTCTACTCTACATACCAGCTCGCGCTTCAGGAAGTGCTCACGAATCACAAGTATCTGTGGAATGATGCTCGCACCAAGGCTCAACTTGCTCGCTCGGAGCATGCCAAGACGGTCGACACCACAGACACTTCTGATCGAGTGCAGTTCGACACACCTGTCAAGCTTGCCAAGAAGAACAAGAAGAAGCGCAAGCTCGAACGCCTGCAGGACCAGGTCAAGCAGCTCAAAACGGCACACGACAAGCCGCGATCGCAGGCTGCAGCTGCGGCGCCTTCGAAAGACAAACGGATCCCCGAATCCGAATGGAAGGCCATTGCTCAAGCCGCTCAGCAAGTCAAAGGCGCCAAGCGGTGCCATTACTTCAATTCTTCCATGGGGTGCACGCTCGGTGACAAGTGCAGGTTCAAGCATCTCTGCATGCAGTGTGGCTCATCGCACCCCATGGTGGGGAATCACTGAGATGACAGTCCACCTCCGGCTCCGGAGGCATCTGCGGCAAATGAAGCTGAGGCTCATTCCTCTGCTGACACGTCGCAGCCATTCTGGGGCTCTATGAGGCGGCCGGATCAGGCCGGATGTTTTCTGGAAATTTTTGCAGGCGAAGCTGTTCTCACTCGGGCAGTCCAGGCGGCAGGCGGCTCAGTGCTGCCGCCGATCGAGCTCATCCCCAACCAGTTTGTTCCTGTGGCCGTGGATCTGACTGATGGTCGTGTGCTCGAACACCTGGAATTGCTCATTCGTGAGGGTCGGATCAACTACATTCACTTCGGCACGCCATGCTCTTCTTTTTCCTTGGCCCGCAAAGATGATGGCGGGCCGCCGCCGCTGCGCGCTCGACGAGCGCTGTGGGGGCTGCCCAACCTGGCGGCGCGTGACCAAGACAAAGTTCGTCTGGGGAACAAGTTGATGCAGCTCACCGTCGACTTGGTGGGTTTGGCTCACACAGCTGACGTTTTGTGGTCCATCGAAAACCCGCTCGGTTCCTACTTGTGGGCTATGCCACCAGTTCAGCGACTGGCCAAGTTCACCAATGTCAGCCGCACCGAGTTCGACATGTGTCGCTTTGGTTCTGCACACCTCAAGCCCACGGCCTTGCTCAGCAACACATCTTTGCAAGCGTTGGGCAAGCGTTGCGATCGTGATCGACGCCCTCATGTACATGATCCTTTGGTTGGGTTCGCCGTTGTTGAAGGCGAAAGAGTGTTCAAGACTCGGCTTGCTCAAGTCTATCCATGGCAGCTCTGTGAGGAGTGGGCGCAGATCATTTTGGGAGTGAAGAGTGATCCCCTCTCCGCGACCTTTGCCATGAAGGTGCCCGCCGCTCACAGGAAACGGCCTGTCGGCCAACCGCTGCCGTGGAAAGACCACAGGCAACGAGATGCTGGCGAGCGCGCCATTGCGGCTGGCTACCAGCTCAAAAAGTCAGCTGTTCCACCGTTGTTGCCTTGTGAGTTCGAACCTGGCGAGGCCGTTCGTTTCGCCTTGGATCTCGCTCATCCCTTTTCCATTGCACCCGATCTTGAACCTGATCTCCAAGAGGCTTTGTCATTTGTGGCTCACCAACCGGGTCGGTTACTCGCTCATCGGCTCAAGGCAGTTGCTCATTGGGAGGCCCGCGCGATCGCGCTGCTGCCCGAGACGGAGCGGATCCTCGCCTCCGTCCATGACCCATGGCTGCGCAAGCTGCTGAGGGGTGCACCTGACGAGGAGCCGATCGCGCTTGGTGCGGTTACTCACATAGCTTTGTGGCGTGAGATGGCTCACGCCGCGCTTTCGATCGATGCGGCCTTGGTGGACGAGATGCTCACTGGCATGACCATTGTTGGGCCTATTTCGGCCGCCGGTCGATGGCCGGCCTTCGACAAGGACCAGCGAACCCTACCCCTGGAGCAGCTCCAACAGAGGGCCTGGGAGTTTTCACGGAAAGTCAACAACAACATTGCCAAATGTGAGGTCACTGAGAACACGCAGAAAGTCTGGGACTCCACGATCGAGGACGTCAAGGACGGGGTGACCTTGGGGCCTTTCTTCGACAAACGGGAGGTCTCGTCGATCGTCGGTGACCCATGGATCCCCACACAGAGGTTCGAAGTCGTCCAAAAGAACAAGGTCAGAGGAGTGGACAGCGCCACGGTCAATGGGGTCAACCAAGCTACGGTGATCACCGAGAAGCTGGTGCTGCCCTCCACTGATGTCAATGTGGCTGCGCTCAGGTGGTTGCGCTCCAACGTGCATGAAGAGGAACTTCGAGGATGGGTGCTCGATGAACGAAAGGCTTATCGCCAAGTTCCTGTTCACCCAGCTCATAGGAGATGGAGCGTGATCGCCATGAAAGAACCGCTGTCAGGCAAGATCGCATACTTTGTGATGATTGGTCATTCTTTCGGGCTGGTCGCAGCGGTCTACAATTACAATCGCCGCTCGGCATTAATCACAGATGTGCTGAGGAGGTTGTTTTTGGTCGCTGCCTTCAACTTCTACGACGACAAGTACGGGTTTGAGACGAAGCGGACGATCGACTCCGCCTTCGGCATTGCTCAGTCCGTGCACACGTGGCTCGGGGCCAAGTTCGATCCGAAGAAGTTGCAGCTCACTGGCTCTCCCACGATCTTGGGTATCACATATGATTTGTGCGAACTTCGCCTGTTGATCAAGGCAGAACGCAAAGCCGAACTGATTGAAGAGATCGAGTCGATTCTGTTGAACCAAGTTCTCTCGCCTGGTCAGGCGGGGAAGTTGAGAGGCAAACTGATGTTTGGCTCGTCACAGTTATGGGGAAAGATTGGTAGGGCTTTTCTACGAGCGCTGTCTGAACGGCAGTACTCATCGGCAGCTCGCAGCTCCTTAAATAGCGCGCTCAAAGCCGCGCTTGAGGAGTGGAAGTTCCTCATAAGTAAAGGGCCTCCCCGCCCGATCGAAGAGGCTCGAATTAGGAAAGCTGATTTCGTCGTTTTCACTGACGGTTCTTTTCCTGAGGGCAAGATCGACAGTTTAGATTTTCCATGGATAGGCGGGGTCGTTTTCGCTCGAGGCAAGCAGCCGCTCCAATTTGGGGCCAGAGTTCCGGATCAACTCATCGACACATGCACTAAGCACCCCCCCGAGTTATCATAGTTATAACTTTAGTTATAGCACTTACTGAAGTTAAAAATAAGTTATAAGTAAGTTATATGAAAGAAAGTGTAAGTAAGTTATAAGAAAGTTGTAGAAGTTATTAAGTTGCTTAAGTTGTTTGCGTTGCCAAAAAATCAGGGCAGACAACCGCCGAGCCAAAAACACAGAAAACACAAGTGTTTTCAAATTCTGGGCAGACAACCGCCACAAGTCCACAGCCAGTCGCACTTTTACAGCAGACGCACGACTTTGTCATCTTCGTGGCACCACCACGCTGGCCGCCAGACATTGCTGCAACCGATTGGCGCAGCTTCGATCTGGGGCGCTCGTTTGAACGCGCGAGTGTTGAAAACCGCTGCTGATTCTTCCACCAGTTGTTCGATGAAAGCGACAAAACGCTCTTCTCGTTCCAGAAAGAACAAAGCCAATCCTGCACTGTCACGCCCAAAGAAGAGAACATCATCCTTCGATAACTCAACGCTTCCCTCTTTGTATGTGGTACCCATGCGGCACTCAAGGCCACAAGCATTGCGAACTTCTTCAGCCTCATACAATGTTCCTGCAAGCTGCGGCTTCCATAGATGAAATTGCTCTGTCTTCCATGATTTAAACTGCGCAAGAAAACTTTTTTTGAGCCCTCAAGTGTCTGCCATAGATAAAAAAACTTGGTGGTAAGGAGGTCTAAGGAGACACACGGGGATACACCAGGACACATTGGGATACACGTGTATCCCAATGTATCCCTGTGTATCCTGGTGAGGGGATACACCGGGATACACCGGGATACACGTGTATCCCTGTGTATCTCTCTGTATCCCTGCGCCTTCCGTTTCTATCGCAAAAAAAATGATCGGTATGTCTGCAGACAAAACAATTTATTTCCATACAAGATTGCATTTCTGGGCAGAACAACCGCCAAAGGTTAAATAATTGCATTGCGTTCTTTTTCGGAATGCAAGCTCGTCCATCCCTCAAAACTTATTCATCGAAAGCTCGCTCCTGCGATCCCTCAAAACTTTTTCGTCGAAAGCTCGCTCCTGCGATCCCTCAAAACTTGTTCATCACAGACTTCTTGGTATTCGACTTTGTCTTGCCTTTGCAAGTCTGCTTTTCTCCGTCTTCGTGGCTTTCTGGTTGCAGGTGGAGCGAAACACAAGTTTCATCTCCTGGTTCCACATTGACTGCGGGATGGTATCAATGTGAGCACTTATTAACCTTGTTGGTGAATATACTTTTTTTAGCACAGAACTTACAAATCATCAAAAAACAAACATAAAAAATAACTTCCGTAACTTGTTTCTAAGTTCTGCAAGCTTCAACATAGCATGTGTCATAACTATGTTATAAATTTCACATGTTTTAGAACTTACTTATATTTGTGTTATAACTTCCAAGGAACTTATCGAACTTAGCATAGGTTATAACACATGTTATCCCTAGTTATAACTTATGTTGAGGAAGTTTTTAACTTCTTTAACTTGGGGGGGCTGCTCAGTGTGGTTACCCCGCAAATCACAGATCGCGATGGTCGAATTGTTCGCAGTTATTGTCGCGCTCCAGACTTTTCGTGATCTGTTGAGGGGAACGTGGATTCTTGTGTTCGTTGATTCCGAACCGGTCCAGGGCGCTCTAGTCAAAGGATACTCG